TACTTAGTAAATATAACTTTGGGTTCTGGATGTAGCTAGTTTGTCATGTACTAGTTCTAGTAACCCAGTTTCCAAATGGAGAGATAAAATTGCCTGTTAAGTATGAATTGTGAGTTTTTATTGCCACTTTCAGTCTTTCATCAGATTTGTAGAAAAGTGGTAAAACTGAATAACTTGTATCAAATTCCATTTTCTTTCTTCTGATGAGCATCAGGCAAAAAGAGGGGAAAGAGGGCCATTTTCTATTGGCTGACAATTGGGGGGGAGGGGTCCTTAGCAGTTGAGAACAGATTATTTTAAATCAAAGATTGTTACATTTCCTTCTTAGGAACCAAAAATTGGTAGGCAGATTCAGAAAGTGGTTAGTATGGGTGCTTTGGCCATGGTGTGTAAGGCCATTGATCAGAATCCAGAGCTGCAGCTTGAGTCACTGGATGCTGGGCCTATGGAGAGCTTCCTGTCCTCTTTCCAGCTCAACCAAGCCTTACAGAAGCCTCACACAGTGGAGCCAAGCAGGTATGTTCAAGTATGGCATGTACAGGTGAAAGATGTCTTGATTTTTCCTTAATTGCTTATTTTTTAAAAACCAAACCTTTATTTAGACTTTGAAATAATTAGCAGCTACTCAACATTGCTTATAGGAGAAAGATGGGGCTTTCTACTCCCATAAAGAATTACAGTCTTGGAAACCCACAGAGGCAGTCTGCCCGTCCAATAGGGTCATCATAAGTTGACATTGACTCGTGGCAGGGATTTTGATTTGGTTTGGTACCATTAGTTATAGAACTATGGAATTTGGGAGAGTCTGTTCCATTTAAGATTGTAATGATTATCAGTCTCCATTACCAGAAACTCATTAATTTTTTGCATTTAATTTTCAGTGAGTTCTGTAAGGTGACTGAAAATAGGAATTTTCACGGTAGTTAGAAATTTGTAGTTTATGGACTTTGCTGATTTGGGGGTGGATATTGATAGTGATGTTTAACTCTGTATCTGTTTTTTCCCTTTGATAAGTATGGTGCACTACTTGCAAAAAATAATGTGCCAGTCTTGAGGGAGTATGGGATAATGACCTTAATTTTTGTTTCAGCTTTTTTAAAGAATCATCATCTTCCCAAGGATGGGGGAAAATAGTTGCACAGTATATCCATGATCAATGGGTCTGCCTTTCTTTCCTACTGAAAAAATACCAGGCCCTTATACCAACCACAGAATGTGAAATTTTGGAACCCTTTCTACCTGCTATTCAAATGCCAATAAGGACTTTGCAGTCTGCATTAGAAGCCCTCACAATTCTTCCTTCTAATCAAGTTTTACCTGTATTCCAGAGCATGAAAATTTTGGTCCCCAAGGTAAGATATATTGAGCTATGAATTGAAGAATAATTGCAGAAGCAGAAATAAAATATTTTGATATTAAGTGATAAGTATGTGTTTTTCTTGTTTTCTATCAGCTTCTAACTTCCTGTGAGTCACTATGCATGGAGTCTTTTGACATGGCCTGGAAAATCACATCTTCTTTAAGCAACACTCAGCTTATATTCTGGTCTAATTTAAAAGCGTTCGTTCAGTTTGTGTTTGATAACCAAGTGCTTAGCATTGCTGCAAAAATCAAGGGCCAGGCATATTTCAAAATAAAAGAGGTAATTCCATTTCTTTTAACTTTTGTGAACTGTAGTAAGCAAAGTACAAAAGATTTATATTTGCATTAGTAGGCCACTGGAGATCCCCTTGCAGAGGGGTCTCCGGGAGGAGACGAGCCAGTCAGGGTGCGATGTAGCAACGATGAAAAATACAACTTTCCTCTAGTTCCTAAATGTTTCCTCCCCGCTCCCACTATCAAGTCTGGCTAGACCAGAGGATGTACACTGGAACAGATAGGAACTGGAAATACAGGGACTCCAGGGCGGATGAGCCCTACAGAACCAGTGGTGTGAGTGGCGATATAGGGAGGGTAGAGGGAGAGTGGATAAGAAAGAGGGAACCGATAACAAGGAACTATATGTGACCTCCTCCCTGGGGGACGGACAACAGAAAAGTGGGTGAAGGGAGACATTGGGCAGGGCAAGATATGACAAAATAACAATTTATAAATTATCAATTGCTCATGAGGGAGGTGGGAGCGAGGAGGGAGGGGAAAAATGAGGACCTAATGCCGGGGGCTTAAGTGGAGAGGAAATGTTTTGAGAATGATGAGGGCAGTGAATATACAAATGCACTTTACACAATTGATGTGTGTATGGATTGTGATAAGAGTTGTATGAGCCCCTAATAAAATGATTAAAAAAAAAAAAGATTTACAGTGAAGAATCCCACAGGGATAACTCATTGGTGGTATAGGGTCACTCTGGATCAGACTTGAAGAGATGACTGATTTTTTTTTTTGAGTTTGAAAAAAAAGATTTATATTTATAACTACATACTGAATGTTTTTATTCATTCAGCAAAACATTTTTGTAAACATTCTTCAATGTCTTGAGTAAGGACAACAAATCTGTTGATGTAAAAGAGAAGGTATAGGGAGACTTCTGGTAAGATGGTCCAATTAGGTGGTCCATATAGGTAGACACAAGACATGATAGAACAAATGAAACAGCTATGGGTGATAATCCTGAAATCCTGAGCTTCAGAGGAAAGGATAGTGAGGCAGATTGAATACTGACTAACAGAAGAAGGTGAAGAAGACTTCAAGAGAGAATATATAGGTTAATTGCTCTCTGGCTTGATGTGGTACGGCCATCTTGAACTTTTACAAGCAGCCTTGATCAAGACAGCAGCCTGGCACACCAGTGGCTGATGATAAGACAGGCGAGATCTACTCTTGTTCTTTGCACCCTCCTCATACCAAAAGTATGGCCAGCCCCCACAAACACCAACCCAGTGATATCACCCCACCTGACCCTTAACCACCCACTCTACACAGCCCCTGCCCTGTCTGCCTGAGTATAGAATTATGCCTTGTGTATCAGGCTTAGGATGTACTTCCCCCACATCTAGAGACTCTTGAACTCTTCCTCATTAGACTAGCAGAATATGCAGTGCCAGGTTCCTAGCAAGAGCTCCTGACATAACCAGCTACCCTGCCCTCTAAGCCTGAAAGCATACTTCTGAGTAAAAGCACCTTTACCCCAGCAACCATTAGCCAGTATGACCTACTTCAGGATTAGGCATCCTAATCCTAGAAAACACCCAGACCAACAGGAACTCCAAATGGATTGAACATTCCACTCTCACCACTCCTTCCATACCCTGTAAATGAAAATTTCTAGAAACTATACTAAAACCGCAAATAGAAATGCAGAAGAGTAACACTAAGATTTCAGTAGCTAACACATTGAAAACGTAAAGAAGTGAATTAAATAAATGGAAACGTGAACCAGTGAACTTGAATAAAAGTCTCTCAAAATTAGTCTGCTAGAGAAATAGAGAAAAAGGAACAACAAAGCCAATGGAAGGCCAACATTTGTGTGGGACACTAAGAGGAAAAACTTATATGTGATTGGCATTCCAGAGCAAGAAGACACAAAAGGCACAGAAAAAAGTTGTGGGAATGTTGTTGGAAGAAAACATTCTTAACAGAGCCCAAGATTCATTTGTAGGAACTACTTAGGAAATAAGCATCCAGTGAACTCCCTCTATCCACAATTGAGGGATGGGAGGAAAGGGGTTATTAAACAGGCATTTGAGAGATGAGTGTAGAAGATCAAGGGCATAAATCTGACTTGAACAGTTAAAACTTTGTCACTTGATTCTCCGCGCTCATGCATGCTGGACCTGGCTTGGTTTTCAACATTTTTCTATATTTTTGTTTGGTTTTGTTTTTGTTCGTTCATATTGAGGTGCTTATCAGACGTCACCATTTTGAAGTTGTGTTATATGTTGTTTAACCTATAGGATCAGCAAGTAGAACAAGGGTTTTGGGAGACAAGGGGATGCAATGGTGGTGGTAGTGGGGATAAAAGGGAGGTGTCAAGGAGTACAGAAAGAAAAAATGTTTGGAAACTGATTGTAGTAGCAGTTGTACAGTTCGGCTTGATGTGATTGAACTTGTGGAATGATATTAACCCCCAATTAATAAAAGTAATGAGATAGACATTCAAGAAGCTGAATCAAACCCAAATATGATATATACCAAAAGAAAATCACCAAGACATAGTTAAATTTTCCAAAGAGAGTTTTTTTAAAAAGAAAAAAAAGTTAACAAAAATGTAAAACAATATGTCTGATCAGAAGAAATCATGCAGGCAAGAAGGAAATGTGATGGACTATATAAAACTCTGAAAGAAAAATTGCCAAACAAGAATTACATACCCAGAAAAATTGTTGCTTACAATGGTGAAATTAGGACATTTCCAGATAAATAGAAAATAAAGGGATTTGTAGAAATATGACCAATCTTACAAGAAATACTAATAAGAGTTCTGTGGACAGAGACCCAAAAGTGGCAAACTTTAACATACATGACAGTAGCATCCACAAGTCAACCCAGATACAAAAGTATTGAAAGTAAAACAAATCTACAAGCCTGAAAATAGGGAACTAGAGAACAATAGGCAATGTTGACAATTTCTAACTTAAAAGAGGGAATAATGGTGTACTTGGAGAACTCTCGAATAGTGAGTCAAGTAGATTTCAAGAACTTCAATCCAGGGAAAGACAATATAAAATGAGAGGCTAGGGGGGAAAAAAATGGAAGCAGTAGTAGAAGACAATGGAAGGAGTGTGAGAGTTCAAGCAACAGGCAAATGCTGATATGCACAAACCTACAACAGCAATCATGTATGCAATGGTATATATAGACACAGGCTGAACAATCAACCGTTTGAAATCAAGGAGGCATCATTTACCTAAGGACAAATTCAGAAGTGATAGGAACACTTTGAAAAAAAGAAGGTATAAGCCAATAAATAACCCATGAGCCATGCCTGACTCACAAAACATTTTGTCTTGTACAATACATTGTACAATGCTTTAAATTTGTTGCCAATACTTAATAATTGGGAAATTGGTGTGAAAATCTAGATTTAACCTTTTCTTGGAAAATTGGATAACCTAGGAGTACTACATGACAACTTTCGCTTGGAATTGAGTAGAGTCTGGACCACATAGGTATGGTAAGCCTTTCCCACGGTCTCGACAGTTTGCTTTTCCTTGACATCAAAGGTAAATAGTGTTGGCACTATTATTGCACTTTTTCTGTTTCTCTTATACAGAAAAATGTTTATAAGATTGTATATTATATATGTTATATGTGTAATCAGGTCTTTCTGATTTCTGGAGGAATTTAAATATGCAGCTATAGATGTAATAGGGAACGTAACATGATGTAATTTCATCATGCTTAGGAACTAATATGCTACTATGCAAAGAGGAAGTCATATTAGTCGACTCTTGTTTTTAACCTGCTGTCCTGCTAGTATCAGTATTTTCTACCCCACAGAGATCTTTGGCAAAGGGAAGCCATTAGTGGGATGCAAAGAAATACTAAAAATCCTAAAATATATAGGGGTTTTTTTTTCTTTCTTTAAATTCTATTACTCTGTGCAATTGTTTTCTTGGAGACTTTTCGTTAAGTACTACTATTGATAATATTTTGTTCCTTTTGTACTATTGAGATAAGGATAAATAGCATTCTGTTATTTATCATCCTGTAAAATTCTACTTACAAGAACCCACCAATTGCTGTCAAGTTGATTCCATCTCATAGTAGTGCTATAGGATAGAGTAGAACAGCTCCAGAGGGTTTCCAAGGCTATTAATCTTTATGAAAGCAGGCTGTCTTATCTCCCTTCACAGAGTATGTGAGGAGGGGCGAGACCGTGGAATGCTCAGTCCACATGGAGTTCCCCTTGTGGGGGGGGAGGTCTGAAATCGCCAGCTTTTCAGCAGCACATCGCTTAATCCATTGTGCTGACAAATTGCATTTTAGACTAATTTATAATTGTGTCAAAACTATTATTTGAAGCCATTCCAGTAAGTTATTAACAATACCAACTTTTAAATAAATCAACTAAAATAAGTTTTATTTATTCCAGATTATGTACAAAATAATTGAAATGTCTGCTGTAAAAACTGGAGTCTTCAATACACTGATAAATTTTTGCTGCCAATCATGGATTGTTTCTTTATCAAATATTTCCCAAAGCTCTTTATCAAGTGCTAAAAATTATAGTGAACTTGTCCTTGAAGCTTGTATATTTGGACCTGTGTTTCGACGTGATCAGAGGTAAAAAGATGTCATTATATCAATCTGTAATATTAAGTACATACTTGCATAAAATATCTCTATAGGAGAGTATAAAATATTTTACATTTTAACTTTGTGACTTTACTTTTTTTAATCTAACACATATCATTCTTTATCAATTGCTACATATGGAAAGACTTATTCAGGATGTGCAGACCTTCATAGAAAATCTTGAACATCAATGTGCAGCAAACGTTGTTATTGAAAAGTAAGTATTGTTGCTTTTCTTATGTTAATTAAAAATGGGATAGTGAAAATTTAACATATGAGTACATTTGGAAAGTTTTTATAAAAGTCAATAAATGCATACTGTAATATCAAAGATTTTTAATTTTATATTTGTTTCAAGATTTTAATTTTTTTGGTTTTTTTTTTAAAAGATTTTTAATTTTTAAACTATATTGAAATAAAAAATAGAAATGTCTTTACCCATACCTTTTTGTCAGATCCATCAATTTAGTAAAATTTTATGAAGTTTAAATTTCTCAGTGTAAATTCAAACATAAATCAATAGATAAATATCAGAAGTGTAATACTTCTTTTCCTTTTTCTTAGAGGTGATCATTAATTAATTAGTACGTTTGATTCTTTCATCCTTTTTCATTATAAAGTAAATTTTAATATTTAAGTTCACTGTCTAACATTTTAAAAACTTATATATTACATGCAAAAATTCATAGATTCATGGAACGGATTCTAAAATTTTAACCTCTATTATAAGATGTTAAAAACCTTTTTAATGGTTTTACTGACAGTGCAGTGTTTACACGTTGGGCTGCAATCCTCAAAGTCAGCAGTTGAAAACCAATAGTATTATCCTTTCCTTGGGAGAAAGAAGGGGCTTTCTACACTCATAAGGAGTTAGTCTCGGAAACTCTCAGGGGACCAGTTCTACCCTATCCTATAGGGTTGGCGTGAGTCAGAATTAACTCAGTGGCAGTTGTTTTTTTTAAAAAATTCACATACAGTTCAGTAGTTTAAACATATTTAAATAAATTATATAATTATCACTATAATCAATTTTTAAAACATTTTCTTCTTCCCGTACTCATTATTTTTAGCTCCTTATTACTTCCCCACCTCTCCTGGCCTTACTCCAAGAAACTATTGATCCAGTTATTATCTCTATAATTTACCCCTACCTTGTATTAAAAAGAAAAGCCTCACCCAACAAAAATTTATTTTACTTTCTACACTAAATCCCATAGTACTGTTTTAGAAAAGATCATATTTTAGATAATAAAACAAGCATCAGTAAATTAAAAACATTGAGATAATATAAACCATATTTTCATATCTTAATGTCCTAAAATTAGAAATGAACCATAGAACAATCAACTCCAAAAAAATCAAGTACATGGAAATTAAACAACACTGTACTTAAGAATGACTGGGTTATTAAAGAAATAAAGACATGTTTAAAAGATTCCTTAAAACAAATGAGGAAAATACAACATATCAATACTTTAGGCCATGACAAAAGCATTACTCAGAGGGCAAGTTATAGTAATAACTGCATACATCAGAAGGCAGGAAGAATTAAAATAAACACCTTAACACATAAACTACAACAATTGGAAAAAGCAAAACAAGCCAGCAGACACTAGAAAAGAAATAAGGAAGATCAAATCAGCAATGAGTGAATCAGATACATTTAAAAACTAGAAAAAATCAAGACAAGAAGTTGGTTCTTTGAAAAGATTAACAAAATTGATAAACTGCTAGAAAATCTAACGGAAAAAATGAGAAAACAAATTCTACAAATAAATGAAATGGATGATATTACAGCAAAACTAAATGAGATTAATAATGACAGTTTTATGAAAAACTGTACTTCAATGAATTTTAAAATCTAGAATAAATTGATAAATGTCCAGAAATACATTATTTACTTCAATCACCACAGAATGATGTAGAAAATCTCAACAAGCCTACGAGGGGGTACCGCCCCCCACCCCCCAAAAAAACAAAGTCAAAAGCTTCGCTGGGTGGAGTGAAGCTTTCATAGTACACATTATTTTGCTAGGCGAGCATTGGGCAACTTGCTCTGAGTTAGTGCATCCAGTGGTGTCACCTGGGAAGGTTCTCTTTGGTCAGTGAATATTTTTCATAAAAGCAGTTTTGCTTGAACCTCATTTTTGCGTGCAACTCTGAAATTTTGTGTACTTGGGAAAAAATGCTGCAGAAACTATTGTGATGTTGAACACAGCTTACAAAGACAGTGCTATGTGAAAAACTCAAGTGTACAAGTGGTTTTCTCATTTCCAAAATGAAATGACGATTGATGACAAACTCATCTGGACATCCATCACCTTCCCAAATGGATGAAAATGTGGACTTGGTCGTGCTTTTGGATTTCTTTCCACCAGATCAGATTGCTAATCAGGCTTTCCATTTTAGAGGTTCTGAAAAGATTGGGTAATATTGTATGATAAAAAAGACCTGATTTGTGGCAGACATGACAATGCACCTACTCATGGTGCCGTCTCAGTGCATCCGTTTTTGGCACTGAAACAGCATCCCTCTTTTGCCCCACACACCTGACCTGCGCCAGGCGAGTTCTTTTTGTTTCTGCAAATGCAGAGGGACAAGAAAGGACAGCATTTTGATGATGTAGAAAACGACGTGGAGGTGAAGAAAAAAAATGAGGGAGATGCTGTTGCCATCCAAACAGATGAGTTTGAAAAATGTTTCCAAAAATGCATTCTCAGATTTAATAACTATACATTAAGTGTAATGGAGAGTGCTTTGAAGGTGATAAAGTTGTTTTGTAAAAACATTTAAATACATAGCTTTGGAAAAAATACTGTTTTTTGTTTTTGTAACCCCCTGGCAGAATAAGAAAAAATGGATCTACTCATTATCAGACATTTACAGAAAACTCAATACCAATTTAATATAAATTATTCCATAATATCTTAAGCAAGATCATCCAACAATGGTTGCAGCAGTACTTTGACAGGGAACTGCCCAATGTTAAGGCCTGATTCAGAAGAGAACATGAAACACAGGATATTGTTGATGTCAGATGATTCTTGGCTCTAAGCAGAGACTATTAGATGTTTACTTGCGTTTCATTGACTGTGCAAATGCATTTACTATATGGACCATAGTAAAATGGATAACCTTGAGAAGAATGGGAAATCCAGATTACTTCCTGTGTTCATGAGCAACTTGTACATTGATCAAGAGGCAGTTTTGCAGACAGAACAAGGGAATCCTCTCACCATTCTTGTTTAATCTGTATGCTGAACAAACCATCAGAGAAGCTGGCTTATGTGAAGCAGAGTGGCATCAGGATTGGAGGAAGGCTTATTAACAACCATATACAGATGATACAACCTTGCTTACTGAAAGAGGAGAAATTGAGGCACTTGCTGGTGAAGATCAAGGTTTGTAGCTGTCAGTAGATTACAAATCAATGTAAAGAAGACCAAAACTCACAACTGGACCAATGAGAGAGAAAAGGTTGAAGTTGTCATGTGTTTCTTTCTTGAATCGGTAATCAATGCCTATGGAAGCAGCAGTCAAGAGATCAAAAGAATTGTTGCAGTAGGTAAATCTGCACAAGATCTTTTTACAGTATTGAAGAGCAAGGGTTTTACTTTGAGGAATAAGGTGCACGTGACCCAAGCCATGGTATTCTCCATTTGCTTCATATGCATGTGAAAGATGGACACTGAATAAGGAAGACTGTAGAAGAATAGATGGATTTGAATTCTAGTGCTGGAGAAGAATATTAAAAATCTCATGGACTGCTGAGGAAAAATGATCTGAGTTGGAAGAAGTAAGGCCATAGTGCTCTAAGCAGAGATGTCAAGACTTAACTCTTACTTACTTTGGACATATCAAGATTGAGAAGGATGCCGTGTTTGGTAAAGTGAAGGACAGTAAAAAAGGAAGGCCCTCAATGAGCTGGAGAGACACAGTGGCTGACTGCACCAGTGGGCTCAGGCACAGGAACAGTGGTGAGGATGGCACAGGACTGTGCAGTGTTTTGTTCTGTTGTGCATAGGGCCGCTCGGAGCCAACTCGATGGCATCTGACAACATTCTACAATAGACAATATACTACCAAATTTACTTTATGAAGCAACTATAACTCTGATACCTACTCCAGGCAAAGGTAGCACCAGAATGTAAAATTACAGTCAATATCTCTAGACGCCAAGATCTTCAATAAAATACTAGCCAACACAATTCAACAAAGCATCAAAAAAACTAACTGCATCATGTCCTAGTAGAATTCATACCAAGTATGTAAGAGTGGCTTAATATTAGAGAAACTATCGATGTAACTCACCACATAAAGTAAAGGAGAACAACCATATGATTACATATATCAATCTATGGAGAAAGAGCATTTGATAAAATTCAACATGCATTCCCGATGAAAATACTCAAAAGTAAAACATTCTCATCATAACAAGTCATACATGTGAAACAGCCTGCGTATCACTTAATGGAGAGAAATTGAACACATTTTCTCTTTGAACGGGACCATACAAGGTTACCCTTTACCACTACTTTTATTTAATATAGTCTGGAAGCTTTAAGTATAGCTATAAAAGACATCAAAAAGATACTAAACATATCCACATGGACAAGAAGAAATGAAAGCTCTATTTAAATGATAAAAACATTAAAACAACTACCACCTAGGGGGACGGACAACAGAAAGTGGGTGAAGGGGATCTTGGTTTAAGACATGAAAAAGTAAAAAGGGTCATGGGAGGAGGGAGGAAAGTGAGCTGATGTCAAGGGCTCAAGTAGAAAGAATGTTTTGAGGAGGATGATGGCAACATGTACAAATGTGCTTGACAAAATGGATGTGTGTATGGATTGTGATAAGAGCTGTAAGGGCCCCCAATAAGATGATTTTTAAAAATTAGAGATGACATAATCCTATATAGAGCAAGATTCAATTCAAAAATTGTGAATGCTAATTGAAAATTTTGGCAGCATAGCAGGCTATAAATCAGTTGGATTCTTGTACATGAAAGATACCAAAAAAGAGCTAAAAAGGAAAATAAAATTTGTGATAGCTACACAAAGGATAAAGTATTCAGGAACAAATCTTACCACTACAAAATAGTAATCTACAAAACTCTCCTTCAAGAAACCAAAAGAAACTTACACAAATGGAACAAGCCACCGTGTTTCTGAATAGGCAGAGTAAGCACTGAAAATGTTACTATTACCAAAATACAAATGCATGTACAAGTAGAACTAATGAACAAAAGAGAAGGAAAAACAAAGGGAAAAAGATAAAAGAAGAAAGTATGAATGTGCAGAAAAGAAAAAACAGCTGACCAGGGCATGGCTTGCATGTGGCTGCTGGAGTTATATTCCTATGGCAGCATGGGCGTGGGGCTGTGTTCACGGGATGAGAAAAAAACTGGCTTTTAAAAAATAATCATGATTTTGGTGTGTTTGTGTGGATCTGCAAGAACTGCCTCTTTTTTGCCTGGCAGGCTTGTGTACTCACAGGAGAGGAAGTAGGAGCAAACCAGAAAAGGAAAATGAACGTATTAAGATAGGTCAAAACGCAAACTTAAGGGGAAGGAAAAGTAAAATAAAGTTTAAAACGCCCCCATTTGGGTGGGAATTCCTGTTCTGCTGTCTGTACTATTTTGTGTACCAGTCTGCCACAGGAGAGAAAGAGGAGTATGTGAGGGAAGGGGCACCAGAGAAGCAAGCAAGAAAGAACAAAATGGCAAAACATGTGGGCAGTGAGGATATGTATAATCTCTGAATTTGCTGGGTTTTTTTAAGCTTGCCAAAGGATTTTTAAAAGGTTTTATATTTTCACATAGCATTCAAAAATATGTATTTATAATGAAGATAATAGTGATACTAATTTGATTTTGGGGCTATGACAATAAGTTATTGTGTATAGTTAATCACAGATTCATATTTTAAGATCCTACCTATGTTTTAAAGCCATTCTTTCGTAAATGTGTGTACATATGTTCATTATTAACTGAGTTGTGTAAAGAGCTTGCATTTGTAGTAGATGTGTAAAGAAAAATAGCAGTGAAATGCTTGATGCTGCTTCTCGCCGTTGAGATAACAGAATATCTGTGCGATTCTTTTAAGAATATTTTCATCTAGTATGAATTGTTTCATGACTTAGGATCGATAATGTGTTCATTTATTTTTGAGAAGTATTCTTTGGTAGATGAATCCTTTGATAGCACAACTGGTTGCACAAGGACTGTTGTCAGGACATGCTTTGCAGCGGGCTCACCTTTTGATATATTCATTTGTTACCTCAGTCTGTCTCTTGAATTTTAAAATTACTGTTATATATATTGAACTATGTAAGAGTAGAGACCTTTAGGAGGTTTGGATGTTTGATGATACTTTGAAACTTGTCAGTGATATTTTTATATATTCAAAATATTTATGTAGTTTATCGTTTTATATTTTTTAGTACTAAAAGAGAGGACCATTATGTGAGAATTACTGCTGTCAAATTCCTGTGTTTACTAGATGGTTCAAATATGTCTCATAAGTTATTTATGGAAGACCTCGCAATCAAGCTATTGGATAAAGTAAATATATTTTACTCTTTATGTTAACAGAATGTACACATCTGAAAGCAACAAGGTTTATGGTTTATATTCTTTTTTGATTTTTGTTTAAGGTTTATATTCTACATGTTAATTAGATGTTGGTTAGTATTTGTCTAACTGGGTTGGTTTTAGAGAACAACATCTAAACTTCACTCTATGTATTTCCCAGAAACCAGTCAAAAATAGTTGTGTTTACAGTGACAGATGTTTTATATAAAGAAATGATGTCTAGACTTTTCCATAAACAGTCACCTCTGGATTGGCTTTCTAAATCTGGGTTTGTGATTCTTGAAAGTATTGGTAAAATTTCTTTTATTCTCAGATGCCCATAATCTCTGTGATTCTGAGAGTCTACCGAGTCATATATAAAGAACATTACAGTGCTCAATACCACTTTCACTCTTGAAATCACATGAAGGACTTAAAGCCAAGATAGATGGGTGCTTAGTCTGAGTTTTCTAATTTCCGATTTGGATGCTTCAGTGCAATTGGTAGCTGTAGACTATAGGCTGTACATTTATTTTTTTAAGGTAGCAGATTGACTCTATTTTATACAATTTAGGAAGTTAACTTTTAAATGCAAAATATCCCTTGTCTGTACTGTTGGGGTCAGGGAAGATGCTCTCTAGAGCATCATGTTTTACTTGTTTCTTAAAATGAGTAGAATTTAAAGTGGGTAGGTAATGATGTCTAAATCATGTATAACATAAACATACAGGATGTATAATATTAAAAGGGTATTTTGAAGAAAAGTAAAGCTGAGTAAGAAGGAGAGAGAAAGCTCTTTAGATGTGGCGTCAGGAGAGGCTTCTTCACTATGGTGAAATTCGAACTGAGTCTCTAGTCAGGTAGGAGTTTTTGGTGATAAAAACAAATCTGGAGATTGCATGATAGAATTTTGCAAGCCCTCCATCACAAATCCTTTTTTAACAACATAAACGACAATACATGTGCAGTTTTCCAATTGAAATACATAGAAATCAAATAGACTACATCTGTGAGAAGGGACACTGGAGAAGCTCAATATCATCAGCAGGAGGCCAGGGGTTGACTGGAACACAGCATCAATCGCTCATGTTGAAGCTGAGGAAAACTTAAACAAGTCCACCCAAGCTCTAAAATACTACCTTGAGTATATTCTAATGGAATTTTGAGAGCATCTCAAGAACAGATTTGATGCATTGAATTCTAATGACAGAAGACCTGATAAGCTGTGGGAGGACGTCATTCATGAAGAAAGCAAAAGGTCATTAAAAAGACAGGAAAGGAAAGATCAAAGTGGATTTCAAAAGAGATTCAAACTTGCTCTTAATCGTAGAGTAGCTAAGGCACATGGAAGAAATAAGTCAAAGAGCTGAACAGAAAATTTCAGAAGGCAGCTTCAGAAGGCAAATTAGATTATAATTGTGCAAAGACTTAAGAATTAGAAAATCAAAAGGGAAGAATATGGTCAGTATATCTTAAGCTGAAAGAACTAACCAAAAGGTCCAAGTATCAGGGTCATGGTCAAAATTAATTCTTAAAGTGTCTTCTCTGGACTAATAGCATCAACATCACCTGGGAACTAAGAAGACATGCATATGTCCAGGCCTATCTAAGCTAGAAATGCTGGGGTGGGACAGCAAGCTTTTTAAATAAAAGTTGAGGACCCCTGGTCTAACAGGAGTGAGCACCCAGCTAGAATCAGAGTGCACGTTGTTATTGAAGTCAGGGCAAGTGCATTTTCTTTTCCTTCTCCTTTAGCAGTACCATACATGGTAACTCGAAGGCAAGACCAAACAACTTAAGATGACTTTTGTTTGAAAAGGAATTTACAAAGGACTTTGAGGTGGTAAAGATAATTTAATGAACTCTTGGAAATATTATACAGATTACTCTTGAAGTCCAGGTTGGGTAGATAGGGACATCAAACTATTGTTAGGTTCCATCAGGTTGGTTCCAACTCATAGTAACCCTGTAGACAACAGAAGAAGACTCCTGTTTTGCATCATCCACACAAGTATTACTGCGTTTGAACTGCTGTGCACCCTCTACTTTACCAAGCATGATGTCTTTTTCCAGGGACTGGTCTCTCCTGATAACATGTCCAAGGTACATGAGAAAACACTTAATAGTATGGAAAAGAAAGATCTTTCTGAATAAAAGACATGTTTAGTGGAACAAGTAAAAGGCAAGATTATGAGCTACAAAAGAAACTTAAAGCAGAGCATTTTTAAGGGAGGTCAGGTATCTAAGTGTGGCCTTTGTTATTATTTGATGTTTAGTCAATTCCAATTCATATGAACGTATAGGACCAGGTTGAATTGCCCTGTAAGCTTCCTATGCTGAAACCTTTATGGAAACAGATTGCCAACTTTTTCTCCTGTGGAGCAACTGGTAGGTTAGGGCTGCTGGCCTTTTTGATTAGCAGCTGAGTGTTCTAACGACTGTGCCATCGGAATTCCTTAGTGTTGCTCTTAATGGCAAATATATGGAAGTGACGAGCCTTCTTATTATTTTTATTTTAAAAAGAACAACAGTTTTATTGGCACTTAATCCACATATCATACAATTCAATATTTCAGTCATTTCGACAAGAGTTGTACAATCATCACCACAATCAATTTTAGAGTATCCTGCCTCCCCACACCCCGCCCTGTCCTGGTTAAATTGCTTTTTGAGTAAATCTTTTTGTTGGGGGCTCTTACAACTCTTATCACAATCCATACAGCCATCATTGTGTCAAGCACATTTGTACTTTTTGTTGCCATCATCATTTTCAAAACATTTTCTTTCTACTGAGCCCTTGGTATCAGCTTCTCATTTTTCTCCTCCCTCCTTCACCCTCCCTCCCTCTTGAACCCTTGAAAATTTATAAATTATTTTTTTATGTCTTACACTGACCGGTGTCTCCTTTCACCCACTTTTCTGTTGTTCGTCCCCCTGCAAGGGGGTTATATGTAGATCATTGTAATCAGTTCCCCCTTTTTCCCCCCACCGTCCCCTTACCCTCCTGGTATGGCCACTCTCATTATTGGTCCTGAGGGGTTTATCTGTCCTGGATTCCCTGTGT